TTTGGTCTCAAGACGTCTGCAGTATGTACATGCGTTTCACTGCAACTCAAACTCTAGCACTATTATAAGTACAGCAAGAACTACATCTATACAGGAACGTCAACACGGATCCACTAACAGAGCAGGATTTCACAATATGATTTAGGGTTTAGGGTTTAGGGTAGATTGATATGATTATGCATGCTAGATTCGATATTTTATCAGTACGAGTACTACTGCTAATACTGAGAATGGTTAGACTGGTATGGGGTTTACGATTCTCCCGCAGTTTACTGGCCGTCATGTTACAGATCAAGGCAACCAGCATCATCAATACTGTATCGTTCCTGTGACAAGCATCTTTACCCGTACAAATTGCATGCCTACAAATGCTACTGCCATGAAGGTTGCAGCACCATCCCCCTCACAACGACCAAAAGACAAATGGCCTTAATCATTAGAAAAGGGCAGTGGGTTAGATTATAATGGTTCGTGCATATATATATATATATGTATATATACACAGACAATGAATAAATACATCTATATACGTATATATATATATATAGATATAGATATAGATATACAGATATGTAGGTGCATACAGATATAGATGTAGGTATAGATACAGATATGAGTATAGGTATAGGTGCATGTACTTGTCTAGATATAGATTTAGATGTTGATACAGATATAGTGATATGGATATAGACAGAAGAAATTCTATAGACAAAAGATAGGGATCACGAGGCCGCAAAGGCAGGCGAGTACTCAACTCAGTAAACCCCATGTTGCACACCCGTTACAACAACCCCAAACCCTAAACCCCTTCAAGAAACAACTGTTACTACAACTCTCAACACCCGTTGAACACACTCTGCGAGATCGGATAAGAACACCAACAAAAACACAGATACGCCAGGCCGCAAAAGACCGAACGGTCTAACACCCTGAACCCTAAACCGCGCCCTAGGAGTCTTCAACAGCCAGAATGGGGCCTCGCCGGCTTAGGGTTTAGGGTTTAGGGTTTTGGGTTAGGGCTTACCTTAAGAACCCAAAACCTACTTTTTTGTAGGGTCCCTATAAATCCCATATTAGGGTTTATAATAGGAGCCTACAAAAAAGTGGGTTTTTGGCTTAGGGTTTAGGGCCTCGCCCGGAGCGTGCTTCAGCGGGATGTCGGCCGGTAAGGAGTCACCTCATTTGATGAGCTGCTCATGAGGGCAGCAGGGGTTTCTTAATACATGTCTCACTTCTGAGCCCCTCCTAAAACTCAAAATTTTAGTACCCTCATCATAGTTCATGAAGAAACCCAAAAAGGTAGAGTCCTAAGACCCAACCAGAAGAACTCCAAGCATTAAGGCCCCCAAACCCTAAACCCTAAACCCTAAATCCTAAACCTAAACCCTATCCCCTAATTTGAGTTATGAGGCCTAGGGCTGCAGAATTCTAATTGGGCTGCAGAATTCTAATTCGAGTATAATATACGCCCAAACCCTAGTCTAGTTATTAAGGCCCCAAACCTTAAACCCTGAACCCGGGCCTTTCTGAACCGATGCTACGGTTTAGGGTTTAGGGTTTAGGGTTTTCGCCTCGGTGGCACCGGTGGCGGCGCTGGCAACTCTAAACCACCCTCGATCTTGATCACGGCTCCTGGTGGCGTCCTCAGTGGCGTCCTTGGTCGCACCGGTGGATAAGGCGGCGTCTTCGGCTGCGGCACCCGAGCGGGAACACCCCGAATGATCTCTGAAACCGTCACTTCCACGAACGGCTGCTCCTTGTCTTTGATCTGGACATAGTGGTCCTTGATGTGCTGGGCCCAGGTCTTGCGTGGTTGATCGCCTTGACGAGGTAACCCATCTTCTTGCGCTCTCTGGCCTTCGTGGAAAGCAGCTTGCTTGGCTACAAGCAGGCGGCGATCCAACAAAGGGGTTGTAGGGGGCGAACAGCCTTGGCCCTCAGCCCTAAACTTCGGCGCTTGGGGTTTTGGGGTTTCAGGTTTACGGCTGTGGATTTCGAGTTTCGAGGGTTTGCGAATGGTGTTGGGGTTTAGGGCTGCGGCTGCGGATTCTCAGAATTTTTTGGACCCCAAACCCTAAACCGCTGTAGTTCTGGGAGTTGGGGGGCGTATTTTCTCAAGGTGAAGACAGGATTTTCGTGAAGTCTTGGGGTTTTGGATTAAGGGCCTAATTGGGGTTTACAGTGTATTTGGCTTCGGGACACGGTTCCAGGGTTTCCAGTTCCAGGTTTAGGAGTCTAGGATTGACTACTTATGTCAGTGTTGTGTCTTGGTCAGACCCTTGACTGCTGTTGGGGCTCAGAGTTCAAGGTTTCTGATGTCCGTAAGCCCAAACCCTCAACCCAAGCCACCCTCATGGCTGCCCTAAGCCCGAAACCCTAAACTTTTTAGGCCCAAAACCCTAAACCCTGTTCTTCTTCGCATTTATGCTCTCAAAGTTTCTCAAACCCAGAGACTCCAACGCGCCTTAAGGAAGCTCCCGTCAGTATAGTAGAAACCCTCATATGATATAAGGTATAGTCCTCAATTAAGGAATCTCTCTCAAGTATAGCATGTTGGGGTTCAGGGTTTAGGGTTTAAGGTTTGTATGTTAGGAACCTTCAACTGATGGAAGGTATGTTCCTTCATTGAGAGGTTTTGGAGTCTTCGGGAATGACGGCACTACCGCTAGTCTGATCCATTGAATCGTGCTAATCATCTGTTACTGGTGATGGCAATGGTCAATACCATCACCATATGGTTAGCATGAGAGCTGTGATTGTGCATGACTGCGACGGTAACCAAACAACTAGGTTGTTGAGATACTGATACAGGAAAGCCTTAAAGAAGAACCCGAACAACCTGAAGACTATCCAAGTAGAGCCAGGGTTTCCACTCAGAACAGGAACCGCCCAAGTCGACTAGGGCTTCGCGAGCTATTATAGTGTTCTATCTAAGTGTATGTTGCAATGCATGTGTATCTTGTACAAAAAGGCTAGCAACAAATGGGTGCTGTTGTGCGGTTTCTAGCTTCAAGCTAAATCCTAGGCCACAATTAAGCCCTAAACCACTAAACCCTAACTCCCAAAACTCTAAACCCTAAATCCCTAAACCCTAAACCACTAAACCCTAAACCCGAAGCCCTAGTTCCCTAAAAACTATAAACCCCGAAACCCTAAACCCTGAACCGGCAGGTCTTACGAAACTCTTCCGAGGTCCCCGGCTCGAGACTGCTCGGGCGACAGGAGAGGGAGACTGGGACCCCTGCATCCACGGTTTAAGGTTTAGGGGTTTAGGGGTTTAGGGGTTTAAGGTTCAGGGGTTCAGGGTTTAGGGGTTTAGGGTTTAGGGTTTAGGGTTTAGGGTTGAGGGGTTTAGGTTCTAGGGGTTTAGGGTTTGCTTCAAGTACGAGTTTTGACCACAAACTTAAAACTTAAAACCCTGAGCCCGGACCTTTAATTACAGTGTGCATCGGGCTTTCAAGATTTGTTGAAATTTCTGGGCTTGGAAGCTGTATTGGGATAGGGTTTGGGGGTGCGTTTTAGAGCTTCTGCTAGGGCTTAGGGGCTCTATCGGGTCGGGGTTTCCGCGAACCCTTCACCCTGATCATGAAGGGTTTAGGGGTTTCGGGTTGGTTGAGGATTAGAGTTTCGGGCCTCAGCACTATCGAGCACTCAGTACTGCCAGCCAGCTTCATGTCAAGCAGCTGTACCGACGCGACACATTTGCCGATCCTCCTCCTGGCTGTGGGTGCATGCGCACAGCAGATCGGCCAAATCGCGAACCCGAAGGCTCCCTAAACCCTAAACCCTAAACCCCTGAGACTTTGGCGATCTTCGTAGCACGACCAGATGCCGTGGCTTACATGTGAGCATTTCACGTAAACAGACACAAACCTTTGGATCCGGCACTTCGCCAGTCGTCCCAAGGTTTGTAATGTAAGACTCCTAGAGATCCCTAACCCTAAAAACCCTCAACCCTAAGCCCTAAACCCTAAAATCCCAAACCCTCAACCCTAAAAACCCTCAACCCTAAAAACCCAAACCCTAAACCCTAAACCCTCAAACTCCAAATTCTAAACCCCCCCCCCCCCCCCCCGCAATAAAAACCCTAAAATCCCAAACCCTAAACCCTCAACCCCCAAAATCCCAAACCCTAAACCCCGAAACTCCATAAATCCTAAACCCCAAACCCCCAAAAAAAACCAGATAGGGGCCACGAACCCGAATGCAGACACGCGCAACGCAGATATCGTCAAAAAAATAAGTAGAAGGAAAGGCATATTCATACGACCGAACGAATAATCATATGAGCGTACTACATCGGATGGGCGG